CCCCCCAACCAACCTCTGCATACACACCTTTTTCCCGCTTCCTGCGCACCACCCTCTACCTCAGGGCCCAGCCCACCCTTCCTTTGCACGTGACACGAGATGACTCACCCCGGTAAGTCAGTCACCCCGAGCCCCGCGGCCTGCAGGAGACGAGGGCGGCGCGTTCAGCCCAGCCCCGGCCTGCTCGGCCCAGCTAGGCCGCCCACGCCAAACGGCCCTAAAATCGATAGCTGAGCCGCTTGCACTTGTGGCAGTGCGCCCGTACGCCTCCCGGCGCCAGCGCCCCAGGCGGGGTGCGGCATGCGCCCGGGAGGGTGTGAAGGCGCGAGATATGGCAAAGTGGGCCGTGGGCCACCCCCCTCCCCTCCACATCCCCGAGGCGAGGGGCTGACTCCTGGTGGGGCTGCCGTCGGCCATGGCCTGCCACCACCTGCCTCCCCCGGGAGTCAGTCGGCCTGCTCTCTGACAACCTCTCTCTCTTTAATAATTTGTGCTGCTGATTGGGCGGCTGTTCTCCATTCCAAAAACACAGAGAATAAAACACACCGAAACAGCGATCTTTGTAGCAGTTTCGACTGTTTTTATGGGCCTTCTTTATTTTATCTTGGCTCTGCCTCGCCCACGGGAGAAATGCGGTTAAGTTTTGGGGAAAGGGGGAGGGGAGGGTGCTGCTAAAGACGTCCCCGCTGAAAGGCGAACCGAAAATGGGATCGACACATCAACATACCGGACCGGCGGCTGCGGCGGCCGCGGCTGCTGCGGGCTGCGGGGGGGGCGTTTCCTCCGCCGCGTCTCCTGCTGGCTGCTGCTCTTTGCCTTCGCGTCATGTGTTGCGCGGGCCGGCTGCCAATCATGTGGGTGCGACTGGCTGCTCGAGGAGACGAGACGGGACCTTCAATTGTGGTGGACCATATGTGTGTGTGGCGCGGCGCGGTGCGGCGCCGCACTGCGCAGTGCGAGCTGCACTTGCACAACGCCCCGCCCCGCTCCGCCGTGCCCCTCGCGGGCCACTGGTTTTTATTAGGCGAGTGGGTTAGTTTGTGCCAGGTAGCAGCAAGCAGTCAGGTGCATCTTTTGCCTCCACTGCCGCCGCCGCCGCTATGCGCCTTGTGTTTTCCCCCCTACCTCTTTTGCCTCTATCGTATTATTTTATAATGGACACGGCTTGGTGCGCCCCGTCAGCGGACTTGACTGCCGGTCTCGATCGAGATCCACGCCCCGCCACGCCACGCCACGCCTCTCCACGCGGCGAGGTGCGCGGCGCGCGGGGAGGCAAGAGGGGCCGGGCGGGCCAAGAAATGGAAACTAGATGCGTGGCCGTCATCAATATTCTGGAAGCGTTGTGGCTAAGCATACCGAGGTACACCGTCGGGAAAGGGAAACAAAATAAAAGAGCGACAAAACGATTGTATGGGCTCGCACCTGGGGGAGGATGTGCTGTCGCCCGCCGCCGCCGCCGCCGCTGCCGCCGCTGGCCATTCAGGGGCCCCTTTCACGGTACGCGCCCCGTCAGTCTTCATGCCGGCCGAGAGGAAGAAGAGAAGAGAGACGGGTCGGGAGGAGGACGCGGGGCCATTTGCAGGGCAGCGCTTGTTGGTCATTCCCGGCTGATCACTCGAGCTCCCGCGGCGTGTGTTCTTTTACATTTTTATGTCGCTTGCTCGCGTCGGGCTCTTGCTCAACAGTAGTAGTATCATCTCCGGATGTCCAAACACGGCTCGATTCTCTCCGACTCTCGACCGAGTCCGGGTCCCGCCCCCGATGGTCTGTGTGTTCACCGTGACGGCGACGCCCGGCCCGGCCTGCCAGGGCGTGGCAATTAATGCAGCCTCTCTATCCCGAGTTATGGCGGGAGAGCGGGCGGCCCGGCGGGCCCCGCGAGCCAGACGGACGGCGCCGGCCTCAAAGCTCCGGCAGCGGCGGCGGTGGGGACGCGAAAAGACGCTTGGCGACGCCGCCGACGCCCCGGCCCGTGTCGGGCCGCCTACCTGGAGAGATGAAGTGAAAACTGCGGGGAATGGCCGACCGTCGTCTATATATGAGTTTGGTTTGTTGTTGGAGTCGAGCCGAGTCGAGCAAAGCGAGGAAGGTTCTCCTCAGGCAGACGCCTATCTAGCTGGGGCGGGGGCGGGCCGGGGCGGGCCACCTCTAGTCTCGAGGCCCCCGAGGGACGACGTACTACAACAGTATATTGACGGTGAAGGCCGGGGCGCGCGTGGGTGGAGCCGCGCGGCGCGGGAAAGGCATTCATGTGCGGAGGAAAGGGAAGGGAGACAAAGGTCAGTCCCTTCCTGCACCCTTCCCTCCCCTCTTCCCTTCCTCGCCCCTTTCCCTCCCCCACACACTATTGCCCTTCTGTATCCACTCACGAACCGTCCCTTTAGATATGTGTCCCCATTGTCGAGAGGAGAAAAAGTGTGTGTTTGCGCCGACCGGGGGAAACTGTCTGTGGGGCAGACTGTGCGGTATTAACCCACTGTTCTCCATTGCCGTTGTATAACTCGTCTTTCGTTTCAAGTGCAAGGCCCGCGCGTGACGCCAGCAGGACTCTTCTGCCTGCCGTTTTTTTTTTTTTGTCTGTTCCCATTCTCGCCTAAGCGGCCGGCCCCGGCCACGCAATGGTCCTCCTCGCCCATCCGCTAAAGCCAGCTAAAGCCCTTAATAGGTCAGCTGACGGGTAGACAATGTTGCAGTGAAATCCTCATATAGCGCAACATGGCCTCCTGGATGCGCCCTTGTATGAAGCCGGCTTTCCCGCCCAATTCTCCAATCTCTCTCACTACGCTGCTACTTTTTCTGGTGCGTCGCGTTGGTTTTAACGTGGTTTTGAATCTTTCCTGGCCGCGTGCCTGCGACCTCGGTACGTTGGGTAGTTCGGCGTTCGGCACCGTGAAAGCTCAAATCATAAAATTAAACTGCGTTTCGCTGACCATCGGGACGCGGTCGCGCGTATTTGCGCTTTTACTTCGCCCCCTTCCTGTCCTCTCCTCCCTCCTCTTTCCCCCTCTCTTCTCTCCCCGTCCGCCTCTTTCCACTTCCCTTCTGTCCACTTGCCGGCATACGCGGGCCGGAAAGGAGCAGGGGGGAGGGAGACGGACTATCATCCAATCACAGCCCTTACAGATATGAGCGAGTAACCACAATGTGTCAGCGCAGCGGAGCGCGAGTGTGCGTGTGTGTGTGTGAGGGAGAAGAGAAAGAGAGGGGGAATGGTACATGTCGTGCGTGCACCATGCCGCCGACACGCCGACCGACGGCTGGGTGCCTGGGGTGGCGGGGGCTCTGCCGACGCCTAGGAGGACAGGGCTATCACGCAGCGAGTGCGATCTGCTCGCTCGATCTGCTCCCTTCCTGCTCGGGCTGCGAACCACGACGATGCCGCCCGGGTTCCGGACGCGCTTCGCGATATTCCGGTCGGGCTCCGCTCGGTTCGCTTCCGCTACGTTTGCCCCCTTCTGAGTGCTAATCTTATGGAGAGAGGCGAGCCCCATTCAGCACAGGAGCGTCTGCAAGAGCTCGGAACTGGGAATTTTTAAGTCCGACATTTTGCCCCCAAAAATGGACATACTTAACCAGGAAAATTTTTTAAAAATTGAAATGTTTCCAGAAAAATGGAAAAAATTGAAACTTTTCAGGTAAAAATTGTTTGTTCTATTTTTAACTCCTAAAGTTGTTTTCAAAATAACTTTTCTGCAAAATAAAAGTCCCTACGTGGTGGAACCCCGTCGGCTCGGGAAAGAGCGGGTCGCACTCGCCTCTTGATGGCCCTCCCGGCCCTGCACGACCAGCGGGGGGCTCAAGGGCGAGCACGGCCGGGCCGGACTGGTGCAGGACGCCGCCGGGGCTCTACGGTTATTCCCCGAAAGGGAAAGTGAAGCAGTTTGCACATCCCTAAATGTGGGTCATGGCGTGGAGCCGGCGCGCGCGCGCGGCTGTGCGGACTGACCGGGACGTGGGAGTGAGTGCAGTACGCGAGTACACTGCCGTGTGCGTTGCGTGCGAGGCGTGCGAGACTGCTGGTGATGATCCTGGATGGTGCGGTGGTGGTGGTGTTGGCGCGGAAAGCTGCCGGCCGCG